GATAATCGTCGCGTCATATACTCATATTATACTGTTATAAGCAAACTTTTTTTTTTTTTTTTAATGTACGAATCGCGTACAAAACGCGTAGCGCGTGGTGTAACCTACGTAAATAATATCAACAATCCGTATACAGAGCGATTCTTTGGTGAAAAACGATATCGAAGTCAGTCCCACCAAGTCGTCTTCGGGATCAACATCGACCCGCCGCCGATATTTCGAAAAATTATTTTAAAAATGGTTTTTTATAATTCACCCATAGAGCCGCGAGTTTAATTTTTAGTTTCGGTTTACATCAACTGTGATGGTTATAAAGACAAAGACGAAGACACCATAATTTTGTAAAAATATTTAAAAATGTAAAATATATACACCAACAATAATTAAATATGCCAATTGAAATTGTTTGTTTTTAAAAAGTTGATTAAGATAATAAAAAAAAAAAAATTGTGTCAGGCTAGAATTGAATTTGGTCCCACGGTGTGCCGAGAACATTATAAGCTCTTAATATAGCCGTAGGGATTAATTAATTTTTTTTTTTCGATTTCAATAATGTTATTTAAAGAAAGTAGATGAGAAATGTATTTTTAATTTTACTACCAACTTTGTTGTAAATTCAGTACGTCCTAAAGTCGAGATCGCCACCAAACATTTCCTATGTTTAGTGGCGGAAAATCTGCTATTTTTTCGTTTTAATGTCTACAGATTGAATTTGCACAAAACCTTCTTAAATGATAGCTAAATTAATACATTTATTTTGAAAAGGTTATACGTAGGTATACAAGCAATGATGTATTGCTAGAAAAATAAAAAAAATGGTGGCTATGTGTCAGTGATGGATATTGTGGTGAAGGCGAGGGAGGGAAATTGTTCTCCTTGCATTACGATTTTGCTGTCCAATACACATAAATTAATTAATACTCTCGACAACGCCTCTAAGTATGTAAGTCTCGGGATCAATACACCCCCTTTCAAACGGGAAAAGACTAATAACCACAAACACACTAATAAGCAAAAAAAAACAACCAATTTACATTTTTACGTTGCTGGAAATTGTATTATATATACGGGACTGTATTCCCCCCCCCCCCAATACACCACTGGGTTACAACTGTAATCCACACGCGAATTGCGTACACTATATATAATCGTATAACAGAATTAATCAATGTTATTTGTGTATAAATAATCCCGGAATTGAATTTTGATGTTATGCTAAAATACGAATAAAAAAAAATTGAGGGCTAAAGATAAAATAAAACCGGATGGACTAAGTCGCTTAAATATTGTACATATACGCAGTACCAAAATCGTTTGACAGTACGCGCGTAACGCAGTAATATGTATGTATTTATTTAAAGCCCGTTAATATTATCATCGTAATTATTCATAATCGATTTGATCGGTCTGCTGCACGACCGTTTTTAGTATGGTTCGGAGAACAATAGATAGGTATGTTTACTATTACCGTATAGTTAAGCGAAAAAATCAGTCACTCGCAAATAAAAAAAAAAAAATACAAAAAAATAACTGTTATAGGTGAAAAGTTGGAAAAGTAGGATTTAGAGGAGAATAATAATTTATATCTATTTATATCTAAATCATGACTAGCGAAAAACGATGTGGAGTGAAATTTCTTTTGTATATGTACTTACATTTTCCCGTTTTTCCCAATTATTATGAAAACCGCTTTGAAAATTAAAAACTGTCCTCCTTAAAGTACCACCCAGATAAAAATTGTTTTCAGAAAAGATACTACATTTGAAAATCGGATGACGATTTCTTGTAGAAAAGTTATTCATGGATAAAAATAATAAAACAAATAAATATCATTCTTAAACAAATATATTCTTCGCTACGTTCCAGATCTAAAACAGTATAATCAGCCCCAAAAAACGTCAAATAATTGTAAAAACCTATTTGCAATTATTTTCGATTGATATCATATATTATTATTATTATTATTTTTGCTAAATATTGACGCAAGTTAGTGGGACAAACATCAATATCCTGGTACGTGATGTAATACGATGGAATTGTTTATGAGGACGTGATACCCGGGTGTACTATCACCATTTTACATTACTTCATTGCTGAATTGCATGACTTTCAATTTTATTTTTAACCACCAATTGTAACTTATGATGAACCTGGTGTTCCAATTTCCAAGCTATTCTGTTCAAATAATACTGTTTATCTTTATAAATAACAAATACCTATAAATCACACAAAAATCACCAGAGTCTATTTTTTTTAAATTTGACTACGCTTAAAAAAGATTAATACAAGTATCATGTCAACGTTTCAGGTCTTTATCATTATATTATTAACTGAATCACAGTTAAAAACAAAAATAAAACAAACATAGTGAAATCGTTATCGTAGTAAGTGCGTGTAACTATTTCCTACATTTTTGTCCCCGGATCCTAATTATTCAGGAATCTACAAGGACAGTAAAACAAATGCACCAACTAGAAGCAATTGTCTTACACACACATCATAAGGATATCAATACGTTCCTCGCTGCGCTCAGAATCTAAAGCAAAAAAAAAACCGATACTGCTGATGGACGGACCGCTGTTTTAGGAGAGCAGCTAGAAGGCAGAATGTAATTCAGAGTGATATTTGATGCTGGACAAAAGAGGTCTTTTGTCGTTTTTCGGCCGGAGCAACATTTCCGGTAGAAAAGTCGTTTGCACGGATAAAAAAAAAAAAACAACCGTCACAATAAAACCAATGCATCCGTCGCCACGTTCCGAATCCAAAAGACAAATATCTTTACACGGGAGACGAGTGTTGTCCTCGTGTGTAGGTATAATACAATAGCAGTATAATACGTGTCTTTATACTAGTCGACGGCGATGCGAATTAATACGTCACGACGCGAAAAAAAACCGCTACGCCCCGGGCTTATTGTGTGTGTGTTTGTGTTAGCCTGTGTTTCGAGTGGCTTTACGAAGACAGTGTGCAAGAGAGAGAGACAGAGAGAACGCGAGAGGGGGAGGGGGAAATCCGAAAAAAAAAATAAATAATAAAAAAAAATATTATAAACGCAAACAAATTCGCCGGGGACGGGCGACGGGCGCTTGCGATATAATTAATTGAACGACGACGCCCCCGGACGTGTGACTTCCGCACACGGATTTTTATTCAATTTTTATTTTTATTTTTTTTTTCCCCGTTTCAAAAGATCCACGCCGCGAGACGACGCGGCGCGCAATAATAATATATTGTACGAGATTTTCGTAAAGAAATATAATATAATATTACATTATATACCTGTGTATAATAATACTATAATATATTATTACGATATCAAAATATCGTATTGTGTCGTTACAATAATATTGTAAGCAAACGCGTAAATAAAAAACGGGGGAAGACGTTTTTATGATATTCATTGTGCGGAGAGAAAAAAAAAACCCGTGCGTTTTGCGCGAGAGTCGTAACAGCTCTCTCGTAGCAGCAACAGCAGCAGCAGCACACGCGTTCACAAAAGGAGACGCCCGGGTCCGGGCGGGCGACGAGCCGTTCACACGACCGCGCGAGTACTCGGATTTTTTTTCCGTTTTTTTTTTTTTTTTTTTTTTTTTTTTTTTCTTTTTTTTTTTTTT